AAGAATTGATACTGGCGCGTGCTACTGAGTTAAAATCGTCAGCAGCCTGCTTCTAAGCAACTTTCGGAAGAGAAAACTGTTGAGAGCACCGGTTTTTCAACAACTAGTTGCGTCTTACACTTGCGAAAACTCGGGTTGCTTCTAATTTTCCCTACTTTTACTGCTTATTTGAAGAGGATTTTTCATTTCTCCTTTTATTATACTAATTGATCACCATTGATCACCACTAATTGATCACCACTAAATAAATTGAATTGTAACTGATGTACGTTGAAGTTTGTGATTTCGCGGTTTCTTTTATTTTTGCTTGAGTACGTAGAATTTTTGTCGTACGGATGAAGCGTTAAAAAGGGGCTAAGGTAAGAAGTTAATACTTGACTAATTTTTCAGAAACAAACGAGCGAGGTGAAATCTGAGCTGTACAGGAAAATGCATAAACGGATTGCTGTGCAGACACTGCGCATGAAAGAGCTGGGAAGATTGAAGAAGCCTGAGGTTAAATTAGCTTTTCTCGAAGTTTCCAAATTATTCATTTATTTTTCAGTGCGTTTTTTGTTTTTCAAATATTATCCGATTTTGAGGAGGTGGCGTACATGCATCGAACGGACGGCGGGTACCAATTGGAGGTGTGCAGTCCAGGGCTGAAAAGGCTCACTGCGCCCGAAGTGTGGGAATTTTCCAGCAAAAACATTAGCACGGGATTCCCAAGTGATTGTCCGGGTGGTCTAGGTATTCCTGGTGTTTAGTTTGATGTTGTTGTTAATTAGGTATCTGTATTCCAGTGATCCCGGAAGCTGCTTGACCGAAGCCAACGCACTTTTTTGCGGTGCGCTGGGATGCTGTTGTTGCGAGTTTACGCTTAATATTGTCAGAATTGGGGAATGTTTGGTGCAGCTGCCAGTTTAAGCTTGATTCTCCAACTTTTGCCAGGCGACAAATGCTTATTTGTGCTTATCTGCCCAATTTGCTAATAATTATTTGTTCTTCAGGATGCCAAAGAGACGGTAGAAATTCCCAGCAAGAACGAATTGCCGAAATTGAAAAAAAAAATTGTAATTTTTATTTCGCTGTTTTTTTTTCTGTTTATTTGCCAAAATGCAGACAAGATGAGAAAGGGCTTGGTAGAGGGAGAATTAGTGGATAAATGAGTTAATTTATTGCAATCAACTTTTTTATTGGTTTCGTTTGATTTCCAAGTATACGCAGTTTTGTAGCAGGAGGAATCTGATCAGTCGCCAAAAGTCTGCGAACAGAGGGTGAAGGTGGAGAAGCCGTCCCGCAGCATTCCGCAGAAAAGAAGCGCAATATTGCTACCGCAGTCACCTGTTGTACTGGCGAAAAGGCCGAGGGTATGTTATTCTTAATAGAACTAATTTACTGGAAAATTTCGAGCAATTTCTGGTTGTTTTCTGCGCCGCTCTGATTGAATTTTGTATTCTTTTGCGTGATTTGGCTCAAATTTTCGTTTTCAGAATTTTTGGTCAGAACGAGAAGATTAGAGCTTTTGCATTATCGAGTGTCCCCTTATTTAAAAAACATATTTGCTTGAACGTCTTTCAAAAAGCTGTGGTCCAGTAAAAATTTAAATTAGCATTTATAGCTTTAAAAACGTTTGAATAATTGGATCAGTTGCAATTCATTGTTTGTTTCACCAGGTAGATAACTGACAAGTCGTTTTGTTTCTTTAACAAGTGTGCTTTGTTTGGTGATTAGTTTGCTGGCGATTGTGGCGTTAGTTTCATTTCTTGAAAGGATTGATCAGCTCAAAAATTTAGTTGTTCCGAAATGTCCTTCAAGTACTTTGTTCCATACAATGTCATTTTTAGGTCTGGTAAAATATCGTACCAATTAGGGCGAGGGAGGGG